GACTTTTTAGGAAAAAAAATTTCAACATGAAAATCAAGTCAGGACTGAGAAATATTACAGTAAATTACCGGTTCATAGTTCGCATCGCTCTCGTAACCCCCTTCATCGCTTCAGCCATCGCATTTTGAGACCTCAGGGTTTGAATCTTCAACGAAACCGCTTGTATATTCGCACGCATCATGATGAATTTCTTCACGTACCTCCGGGTACGTACAAGGTCCAAAGCCATGACTTTAACAGCATCCTGAATCAAAAAGAAAAAGCTTGACTCAACTGTGTCAACACCAAGCATCATTACTGTTTCTTTTACGAGAGAGATTCAGCCTCTCACAGGGTGTTAAATTAAGACAACGAACTGTGTAAACCAATCTTTTCTAAACGGTGATGATGGACGGAGAGCATTGCTATGATCAGCACATAACTTCAAATTAAATACCGTGGATTCAGAAAAATTATATATACTACGCCCTTTTTAAGGAGGGTTGAAGGATCTTATTAAAAATGTGTTCGAGTCACGCGAGGATTCGATTGACTCGAAAAAAAAAAAAAGATTCCTGTGGTCGCGGAATTCAAGTTTACAACCGTGTTTCCGCAAGACCACAGTACCAAAAACTCGAATTTTCTCAGGATTTGAAATCATTAGTCGGAGAAAAATCAATGGAACTATGAAGTTAAGGAATAAAAATCCATCTCTACCATGAAGCAGATCATCCAAACCCTCGTAGTAGCCGATTAAAAAAAAAAAACCCTATCGCGAAACCAAACCCATCAATTCTCGTTCACAAACAATGTTTGCTCACCATCTGACCGTCTTTCGCCATTTTCTTGATATCGTTGATGAGCTTCTTCTCTTGTGCCTCCATTTTGCCACGTTCGCGGTCTAAATCACGCATGGCTTTATTCAATGCACGTTGGTTCTTGCGAAGCATTTCTTCCGGCGTCATGCGACGCCCGAAAAGAAATTCTAACGGCATTTCGATTCCTTCTTCCGGAAAAATCACGCCAAAATATCCAAGACGGATTCACGAAACCTCGTAAACTAGGAGTAGAAAGTTTCGAATGAACTTTTGTTGAAATGGTCCAAGATAACGAACGTCACGCACGGAATCGGGGCTTCAAATGAATCATAATGTATTTCTATATCTTCAAGTTTGAGTCATAATTTCGAAGCAACAAAAAATCCCAATTTACAGTATTAGAAGTTCAAAAGTGTATTGTTGGGCATCACTGGAGACGGCAAACTTCAGGTTGGTGAAAACAAGCGCACGGCAATTTCTGGGTTAATTTTAAAATGCGGTACATTCATTCGAAAAATGATGCTCGGTTCCAGTCTTCGAAGATATGACATCTTTCCTAAAATTTTACAACTTTTCGGCATTGATAAAGCAGGCGAACGGAAATACATTATTTTTCAAGGAAAGAAATTATCAAAATAGGAAGTGTACGAAGTTCTCCAGAAAAGATAATCATTTGCAGAAACATCCTAGTCGTCAGCACCTCACGCAGGACACTTGTCAACACATCACGCACGGCAATGTTCTTTATGATACATTTTAACCACAGTCACATCCATTCGAGAAATCCGAGTATTGCTATGAATAATTCTGAAACACGGAGTAAAGACATTATTAGAAATGCTGCACAATAATGAGAGAATATTCTTTATAAACAGAAGAAAAAAAACAGCAGGAAGTTATATTCAGCCCGAATCGCGCATCCGAAGCTACTCGGTAATCAACAAAGGTTCACTCTTATGCACATCCAGTCAAGATTGAAAAGTAAAACGCATGCACAATGCAGTAT